GGCGCCTTCTGACGGCAAATTCGGACCTGTGACACTCGAGAGAGTGAATGATTCGACCGCAGACGTCGGATGTCGGTCGGTTTGTGAGGCAAGGCATCAAGGGGCTTAGTGCCTTCGCAGGATGTAGCGTTGCGTAGAGTTGATGTGATCTTTTCGTGATCTCTTCTGACGGTGTGAATGGTGTGAGAGTTTCTATCATTCATTCGACAGTGATTGGAGTCTTTGGAGTGCTTCCCTCACTGCAGGATGCCCAGTTTTCTCCAGACACTTTCACACATCTGTCGAGATTGAGCAGGACCCTTGCCTGCAATGGACAGACGTGCCAAATGATTTCTCCCAACTCAAGAAGTCTTTTGCATGGACTATGTTTGTTTCAAGTCATGTTTCCTCTTCGATCATCTATTGGGTTCTCTTGCTGTCATTTCCTAGAAGTCTGCAAGAACCAAGAACAAGGGTGGACAGAACCTCAGACTTAAACTGGCCCACTAAACGCAGTCCCTCATCCTCTTCACTGTAAGGTTGTTCATGGCATGTCCTCGAAGATCGGGATCAAGTGGCCTGGCCACTCACCAGTCACACCCATTCACCAAGTTTTATGGTGTTTTGAGCAGGTCTTGCTCGGTGTTCCAGCACGCTGAGCCGCCTGCCGCGCCGTGCCCAGGAGCTTTTCGCACGCCTTTGCCAACGAAATGATGAAAAGCAATCGAGAAAAGGCAGAGAGAGTGGAGTTTCCATAGCTCGGGTTGCAGAGTTATGGCTCCAGAAGGTGAATTGCAGTTTTGACGCCGCACATATTTAAAAGTGATGGAGAACAACCCCTGAACAACATGGTGCAAGTCGTCTGCTCTGGGCCGTGTTCTTGCAGAAGTGACTGTCAATGACCTTGCTTGGTCCGTAAAGAAACATGTTTCACATTGTTTCACAACATTTTTTCGTGACTTCAAGCTTTCTTCAGCACTTGCACCGCCACTAGACATTCGAATAAGAAGCTAAGACTTTTTGATATGAAGCTTGCCCCACAACGGATTTCGCCCTTCGCCCCATGTTCGATCCCAACAAAACCGTTCTCCCAACCCGGCCGGAAACCTGACCGCTCGACCGCGGCGGTAGAACGGAGGCCCTTCGGGTGGGTATGGCCACCCTGGAGAGTGTGGTGCCAGAGCCCGGTGGTCCTTTACAACGATCCATCGAGGCTCGCGTGAAACACGTGGCGACGATGCACTGCGCGGCGCAGCGTTGGAACACTGATTGTTTTTGACGTGTGGAAACAAAGAAACACGGACAGACGCACGGAGTACTGGGGGAAATGGTGGTTTGTTAGTTGATCTATAGGTTTGATGTCTTTGCTTTCTGTGCGAATGGTGTATTTCAAAGAACAAACAATAGTCTGAAGAAATGAACAGTCGTGAACACGTCACCCGGTACATCAAAACTGGATGTTGTATCACCCATCAGTGTCTCGCCACAAGGAGTGAAACAAAATGGGAATCTCTGTTGGACGATGTGCCAACAGTTGGCCCCCCAATCGAGATTTGGATCCAGCCACTCTCATTCGACCTACCTACGGCGCAGTCGGTTGATGCGGTCCGCATGGTGAGGGCCATGTTGAAGCTTCAAAAGCTGTGACATGGTGAGGCCGCTGTGCGCCTGTGCTTGGAGTTTCGACGTAGCTTGGGACTTTGTGGAGATCCAAGTTCACCAGGAGACGCCTCGATCTTGGCAGGGACAGAGTTCAGAGCTTGGCAAAAAGGTAGGGAGAACACATCGAACATGTAACAAGAATGTTCTTTGACGATCCCTGTCCGAGCTCTTCATTTCTTGGAAAGCAATCTTTGGATCTCAAAACGATTCTGTGATTGTCCTGCTTTTGTCGAGGCTTGGATGAGGCTTGGATGCTATAGCTAAATCAAAACCACAGGTTCCAAGATCAGCATCCAAGACCCACTGCCCAGACACTCCGTGTACGCCATATATGCCTACATTGGGGGGTGGTTTTGGGGGGTCAATGTAGGCATACATGGCAGTGCCATGGAGTGTTTGGGCTGGGTTCTCTCCAGGTTTTCTCTCTTCAAACCGACAACTGGATCCGATCCAACGCTCTTTCAGAGAGGTCTCCCCGTTCCGACTCGACCAGCGCGTCTCGTCCCGAGCTAGCTCGCTCGGTGCAGCGTCTTCGTGTGATCGAGGAGTCTGGGAGTTTCAGGAGGAGGTCCAAAACCTTGATGCTCGCATGTACAGGCGCCCACCGAACCGAACGAACCCGGTCCACAAAGACCGCGAGCAACGACCAACCAAATGGTGGCTGCATATGATAGATGTGATCGAGGGGGTTTGTTGGAGAAGATGTGAGAAAGCTAGTTGAAGAAGGCACAAACCCTATGAAGAAACATTGCAAAAGGACACATGATATGTGCACGAGGAACGTGTAACTCATGAAAGTCTGTATCCAGCTGGCTTTGGCAGGCTCAGATGCATGCTCGAAGCTGTTTGATGAGTGAGATCGACACCTTGGCGGCCATTTCGATTGCCACACCTGTCCCATCGGTGCGTCACGAACCCATCGCGGACACGAAGTTGTTTAAGTTCACCGACACCCCGAGGCGCTGCATAGAGACTTCCTGAAGTGGCACTCAAATGGGTGCCGAAAAGGATTCTGGCAGCGTTTTGGGAGGTTTCCAGAGCTGAAAGGCTTCTAGTTCTTTGCCAGGCACAAGGACGAATTGGCTGTGAAATGCTGTGAAGTCGTTTTAGTGCTCCAGAATGTTTCCAAAGGTTTTGGACGGATTTGATGTGAGAGCCTCAAGAACAAATAATACATTTATATAGAATGAATTACAATGTAGCGCCTTGATGCGCCTTGCAAATTCCTGTAGCTTGCTCTGAATGTATGATGTGGGATTCTGCAAATGCAATTGGGCAATTGCTGGGTTTGCCAGAAAAGCCGGGATGCGAGACTCAAAAGACAGCATGACCTGTGTGACCATGTGACCCTCAGTCACGCAACAAGAGGGTTGCCCCAGTACCAGCTCCAAACACACGAGGAGGCAAGTTGCTTTTCTTTTGCCTTCTGGACATGTTTGACAGCTTTTGATTGCAGTTTGAGACTGGCAATGTCGCTGGATGAGTACCTTGCATTTCCTTCCTTTGAGCCAGCCAAAGAAAACTCTAGACTCTTAGAGATGAGGAGTGCGGACCTCCATCCCACACCGAACATGTTTGTCCAAAGAACCAGTTTCTTATTCAGCAGTTGCTGACGAACTCAGGAAAACAAACAACGGACTTTGAACAAGAGGATCCAACAAAAACGGATGACCCATTTCACATTGATGTCGATGACAACATATTATATATATATATAGAGTCTATATATACACATAAAAGTACGTCTCAGAACAGACTCTGCTGAGTCTGCTGTCAAGTACTGGCAGTGACCCGTGACCCCACCGTCCCACCGCCGTTTTACCGCCCAGGCCGTGGGGACTCTCCCGGCCACCTTGGCGGCCCTGGCCGTGCACAGCGCCGAGCGCAACGAAGCCGGAGTCCTGGATCCAGGTGCGGAGGACTGTAGACGACCGAGTTGGCGGCGGGGTGCTCGCTCTTTACTCCGGTCGCTGCATGGTGAGGTCTGTAGATTGGTCTAGGGGATATGATCCAGGTGGTGGGATATGCTGGTGGAGTAGGCGTCCAGGCCAGCGTCTAGGATATGGATGGGAGATATGGTCAGCAAGTGGGGAGACCCTACTTTCTACTCTTGCTGTTCAGTGTGGAGACCTGAGAGCGAGGACGACGGTTAGGGCGCTAGACGACAACCTACTTGTAGTAGTCTAAGGTTTGATATGGTTGGATCCTGTTCCAATGAGGTTGTTGAGAGAAGTGAGATGAACAAGAAGCCAGGGATGAACTGGCGGAGGTCTCCATTTTGGAATGTAATTATGAACAATAGACCGACCTCCAAACCCGGCATTCTGACCCCAAGAAGAAGCTCACAAAACTAGACTAGTCTTTTTCTATCCAGCCTCAGGGGGCCAGGGGATCTCCTGGTGCGCCAAAAGCAGCGGACCAGGTGCAATCTACTACACCTCTCCAGTGGCATTCCTCAGCGGACCGAGCTTTCTGGCCAGCGCAGTCACTGCCGCGGCTTTCCCGGCTGTCTGGGCAGAATGGACCAAATGCTTAGAAGTCCTGTCAGCTTGGATATGGCTCAAAATTGGCACAAGATTGTAGAAAAGCGTTGTCTTTTTCGGTAGTTATAGTTATAGCCTCCATGCGGCCACTCCCATTCCAAGCCTCCTTGGCAGTTGACAGTGCGCCCCAGGCCATGTTCTTCTTGCAAGCTTGCTGGCTGGAGTTGGCCCAGCTAGTTTCAGCGAACGTTGTTGGGTTGTCCAGGCGATCCAATTCACCAGATGGTCGGTTCATCCGATGATGTTCTTCATGACCCCAGATCAAGTCAGATCATCACGAAGAAAGCATGCACATGTCATCCTTCAACCCATAACACAAGTTGCATGGCGCCACAGATGTGGGTGATCCTTTTTGACCGTCTTCATGACACCTGTGTCTCACTCTCCCCCCTCCTTGCGCCACGCCACCTTCGCTCCTGCCAGGCTGCTGCTTTGGGTCGCCAAGCCCAGCCAAGATGACGCGGCGCTGCCCCGGCGCTTCCGCACGGCCGGGGAGCTCGGCTCGGCGCTTCCTGCGTGACCGTGGAAATTCGAAGTCAAGGACTGGAAGTGATTCGTAGGATCGCATCCGATGAGCTGTTGGGGGTTTCATGGGGGTTGAAGCGTGTGCTTCTTCATTGTAGAACTGATTTTGATTGAAGGATTCCTGTTGGATTTCGTTGGACTTTGCATAGACGGTCGTGAATGAATCTGTAGGATCTTTCCAGTTGAACGAAAGCACCCGCTGCATGAGGATAGTCCAATTTATAAGTGAGTTGGATGTGGAGCGGCAGGACAGCATATCCCAAAAAATGTGTGCCGCACTGAGAACCTAATCCTTGTTACTTGCACAACAGATCCGACCTTTTCAATCGTCGATCTACGAGGAATTCTTTGTCGAATCACGGCAACTCAATTCAACTCAGTACCTGGACCATCCTGTCGCGGTGCCCTGTCTGGAAGCCGAACGGCCGGTAGTGTGGGGTAGTCCAGCCAGGACACCCAGGTCGGGTCGGATGGTCCTGGTCCGATCATTTCGTTCTGAACCAACTTTGGCTACGTCCAATGGCTTTGAAGGTCGAAGGAACTCCGGATTTTCCCCTTCGGTTGTGGATGTGAGGTGCTCTTCTTGGATGTCTTCGGTGACGGTGTCGATCCAACAGATGCAGAGAGAGGATCTCAGGAGGTCACACCGCATTTGATCATATTTGATCCAGTAGAACATCATTTCAGCATTTGGATTCATTTGGTGTGAAGATTGCCTATAGAATCTTATAGGATGTGTTATGATGTACATGTTAATGATTGGGGGTTGTTCCTTTCCAGCATAGGACGACGTATGGACTGGTTGTCATTTTCAGCAAACCCCCCCGGGCCCCAGCGCATCAAACATCTCTTCATGTCTCCGATGTTTCTGTCCTGTTCCTGCATGCATCCTGGTGGGTTGGACTCCGCGTTCGGGTTCCATAAGGATCCGACCCAATCAAGCCACTCCAAGTGGCTTTGGCCTTGAGGAGGAGACGCGAACTCGGCGGGTCTGGGCGCTGATGCGTTTGCTGATGGATAGACAACAATAGGCTAAATCCTGCAGGTCCTTGGGTGTTGTTACTTTAGCAATGCTGGGTGATCTGGACCAAGTGGCGGTCTTCATTTTTGGCTGATCGACATGTTTGACATATCAGGACATGTCTTACTTACAAATCTTACAATATCTTCCCATGATGTCTAGCAAAATCTTTGAACTTATGTTGCCCGTTCGGCGGCTCTCAGCTGGCTTGGCCAATTCTTTGATCCATTCTACTACCCAGTTGGGGTGGTTGCATCTAAGAAGCACTTGATAGTGACCACCCTTTCCTCCATCCCAAAACACTTCAAAACCCACCTCCCTTTCGCACCCTTCTTCCACGCCGCCAGGAACGCCTCCAGGCGGCCGAGCGCGTCGCCGGCGCCGAGGCGGCCCTGGCCGTGGCCGCCGCCGCGGTGAAGCGCTGGGAGGCGTCCGGCGTCCGGGGCGGCGTGCGGTGCGGTGGCGATTCACCGGGTTCGGTGTCTCCGTTTGGGGGGTTCGTTGTATGTCCTTTCGTTGTAGTACCTCAAGTGAAAGAGGTGGTGTGCACGGCACAAGGTTCCAGGTTCTTTTTTGGGCCTCAAGTTGTGAGCAAGTTGGAAGTTTGTGGCACTGACACTGGCACAGATAGATTAGATTTGTGGCGATGTTCCTAACAGCCGCTGTTGGGAGATATATGATCTCTCTTCTTTCCTGAGACATACCGAGAGATACTTGCATAGGTTGGGTTCAAAGGTTGACATCATTTTTGAGCGGAACACCTTCATTGGTTGTCAGTCCTTGACTTTCACTTCACCAAATCCTTGGCTGTTTGAAAGTCAGAGTGAAATGTTTCTTCTGCAAAGTTGAGGTTGGCAGCATGTGCATTTAACAACATCAGATGAATTGTTCACCTTCCTAAATGCTGGTCTCCAGATCTTCCATGAATTCAAGTTTATCATATTCCACCATTGATCACTTTGCACCAACTTACAATTCTGGAGTTCAATCCTGTTTTGTGGCTTTAGGATTTTCAGGCTCGTTTGCGTACCGCATGAACCCGAAAAAGCCCACGCCATCGCCGTCCTCATCTCACCCATCGCCCTGCGGGCTCCGAGGCGGCGCCTCGAGTGGTTCTCTCCGAGACGCAGTCAGCGGAATTGACACGTCGAACTGGCCCGACTTCGGTGTGAAGTCTTCACGTCTCTTCGTTGGTAGACTGTCAACTGACGAAGTGACGGAGACCCATGCAGATTGAGCTGCAAATGAGCTGGTGCAATGAAATTGGTTCAATTCTTGCAGCACATGGATATGGCATAGGATACGTCTTCACCATGCATTTGCTGTTTATCTTATTCTTGTTTGCTCCAGAAAGAGAACGGGGCCCTTAACCAACGAAGGTCAGAACACCTCGCGTTTTCAAACTCGCTTTGTTTGGCAAGGGCCGTGCCTGGCGCATTGCCAGGAATACGGATTGAGCTTCAAATCTGGCGCCGCGCCTTGAAAGGAGACGCAGAAACGGTTCGCCTCGTTTCTCACAGACGGGCGAAATGACTGGAGATCCACGATGACTGGAGGACATGTCACTGGTGACCTTTCACATGGTCTTGGCGATCTTGCTCCTATTCAGTATTGAGACTGAAGAATCAATGTATACCGCGGCCAATATGGGCTTGAGGTGGAAATCATCCCCCCAATGGCCCAATGGTTGGCACCCCTCAGCGATGTTGAGGAGAGCTTGCCTGGAGAGCAGCGGCCCGTGGCCTGCGGAGGTCTCAGATGAAGAAAAAGAACTCCGACCAGACCAGACCAGGGCATGGAGCAAAGGGGCCTTTTGTTGGGGTGAGCTATATAGCCATTGCCATAGGCTATAGGTGTATTCTTGGCCAATGTTCCAGTGAGATGCCATCTTCACTTGAACCTTTTGAAGTCAGGAGCGGTCGAACCAATTCTCCCCCTGAACCCGTTGCTGCCGCCTGTGTTTGCGTAGTGGCCGAGGCCCCACGAGGCGGACGTGCTCGGCGATGACTCGATCAGGAGTGCCAGTGGGTCGACTGGTGGCGACCGAGAAGTGTCGATCTACTCGGCGGTGGGAGAGAGACCTGAGAAGTGTCGACGTTTTCGCCAAGGCCTGTGGTGTTTTGTTTCACATACTGACTTACTGGGAGAGGTCAAAAACTATTGTCGTCACACCCGACCGGCCATGTGCCATGTGAGGCCCAACACAGTATGCAATGCCTTTCTCATCACCACCTGGACGTTTTCATCAATTTCCACTCCTTGGCGTGGCTGAGTTCGTGTTCAGTTCGTGTCCTTATGAGAGACCGCGCATGACCGCGCCTTATGGAGGCCTTGGGGTGAGCTTCTGCCCGAACAGGAGGAGACGATTCTCTTTTTTCAACCTGTGGGAGTGAATGGTTCATACTGGTGTAAAAGAGCCTCTTGGTGCCCACTTCGACCTCGTTTGTGGAGTTTAATGCGACTGCACATCCACTGTTGCTGCTTTGGTACTTCTGCAGGACGAAGATCCATTTCAAGGCTGTTTGCCTTCAACTTAGCAGAGAAGTTTCTAAGCAGTGTGAAGTCAATCATCAATCAGGTCTGGATGTTACTCGCGGAGTATATCAGTAAATTAGGCCTTTCCACGTTGCGCTTTTCTTAAGCCCTGGCCTACCTGAAGTTTGGGCTAGGCGGCTAGTTGACCTCATTCTTGGCCTCTTGTGGGTTGTGTTTGGAAGATTCACAGATCTTTCGGAAGGTTTACAAATCTGGCATTGAACAAGAGCAAAGCATTGGGGGTCGTTTGGCGGCAAACTGCATGGACAGATCTACCCAGAGCGACCACCTCCGCTGAGGGTGGGTCCCTTTGAGCATGACATGGGCTATGAGTCGTCCACCTACTGGTATGATCCAGAGATGCTTGGAAGGGGAAAGAGCAGTGTTTGGATCCTCTGGATCGGTCCTCAACTCGTGAACGCCTTCACGATCGCCCTCAAAAAAACGGGATCGACGACTGCCCTTGTGTCGACACCTGTCAGGACGAAACAAAATACGTTTTCTTAGGTCATGGGTTCCAGCATTGCATTGCAACGAGTTTTTCGATGCAATTTCTTCGGTCTTGTGGAGGGGCTTCCACAGCCAGTTAGTCCGTGGCAAAATGAGGAAGGTGACCTATGTTTGGGAGTCCCCAGGCGAGAGAAGTGGAGGGCGCCGTCGGGCCCTGTGCTTTGTCTTGAGAAGAAATCGTGCTGTGGCGGCCGTGGTGTTGTCAGAAGCATACCAAGGAGAGAGGGGGATATCCAGTTGGAGTCATGACATCCAAGATTGTTCTAGCCACTTGAGCCACTCTATAAACCTCCCTGTTCATGTTTAGTGGTGTGATTGTCATATGAATGTTCCGCGTAAGCAAAACACTGATGTGTGTAAGGTTGCGTAAGCTGTTTGTGGGAGATTCGTGCGTAAGATAGTCTTGGAATCCCAATTTCAACACTGTTTGCTTCGTGCAGGCTATTCCATGTCCCGCTCGGTTTTGTTTTTGATTATTATTGGGGTTCTTCGTTTTCTCAGCAACATTCTGCTCGAAATCTGATTTGGTCATGGCATCGGGAAGCACAAGGCCTCGGCCATGGGCGGAAATACCAACACACCTGTAGGTTCTGGGTGGTACCACGCACTTTTGATGTACCTCTGACATTGAGAGGCAACCGCTTGGTGCTGTCCTTGCCATCGGTGGCTGCGGCCATACGTGGTTTGGAGGCCATACGTGGTAGCTGAGTTCTGGCAAGCTGCCCATTCTCCTGAGCAAGCAGCCCTCCTTGGTATTGATCCAAGGAGGAACATCTTACTCATATGGCTTTATTGCGATGGACTAAACACAGAATCACCTGAACACCCAATGTACATGCTTGGACATGACGGCCCTTTCGGCTCAAGGACTCAAGAGGTGGGTCACACGTAGTATGTCATTCACCATCTCTTGTCATGGGATCAATCATGGGATCAAGACGAAGATCATCCAGTTCATCGACTAGTAGCTCAATGTGCAGCTGGCACACATGTGGAGACAGATGGACGTTTTGTCAGGAAAGTGGAGCACCAGAAGGATGGTCATGGGAACTACACCACAATTATAATCGACAAGCTGAACGATGGGAAGGTCCGGGAGAAGATGAGTGACAAAACACTGCAAGAAAAGGACGGTTCGTGGTTTTCTCGCCATCGTGTGGCAAAATCTTATGAACGAGACAGTGGGTTCTACAGTTTCTTTTGTGCCAATTGCCAGCATGCATCAAGAAGAGCTTTCGATTCTGCTTGATACCACATTGTGATCTACCCGCAGCAGCATTATCAACAAGCTTTGGTTGGCCACACAGCGGCTTCATGCGAAGACATGAAGGCAACATGTCTTGGCGCAGAGAAAAGCATGCAGCATGAGTGTTGGGTCTTTGATGACATTGAACCTGACAGGCTTGAGGCATGTTTTCATTGCACACAAAAGTTTGGGCTACCGGGCTTAAGGTAGGCCTGCAGGCTCTATAGTGCCATTGACCATTGATATCAAATTTCAAACTCTGGGAAAGATCACTGTCGCAAGTTTGGATTGTTTGCAGGCTACATGTCATGGGGGGTCATGCGATATGATGTGATGATACTGTGTTACAGCGTTCCTGTCGCCTCATCCGAAGTGCCCGGTTTGGTTCTGCATGGGCACTCAATGCAGGCGGCCATGCGGCTATTACTTGCCATGTCAGAAAGCACCACAGCATTGGCCCAGGACAGAAGTCGACTGCTGAGACTATCGTTGGATGTCGTTCAATTTGATTATCCCTTCCATTACGTGGTTTTGACATTGTCGCAAAGGCTTTGATTTATATGGCAAATCACCTTGCAAAGTCGAGTAAGAGTGGTCAGTGCGGTCTTGAGTGGTCAGTGCTATGTGAAACGAACATGAACTTGAACAGAGTGTTTTTAGGTCGAGGTGTCCTAATTCCATCATCTAATTCCTCATTCGAACATGTTTTGAACCCTAATTCCGAATTCAAGCACTGAATCCTGTTTGAGGTTTCCTAAGACACCGTAAGACACCCAAGTGCAGGAGGACGATCTGCCGGATGGACGAGGCACCGCAAGCAGCATGGTGTGTGTCACTGGGTCACTCCCATTCGCAGCTAAACGCATGATCAATAGACTGAGTTGATCTGACAGTTGTTTCATACAGAATTCTCCTTATATGCCATTGATTCTCTACTCCTGGTCCTATAGAGCTCTTTGGTGAAAGCATTTGGAATATGTTATGTGTTCAAAGTGTACACCCCACACACTGATATGATGTCGTCAGGTCAAGCAGATCTGGAGACCATGCTACGAGGCGGAGCCAGAGAGCCCATCTCGGCCCATCCGCAGGTCTGTCGTTCATGAGGCCTTGAGCACAGACAGAACGAGCCATGTGGCTCCTCAACATTGTTGGCTCACACAGAGCTAGGAACCCACACATGTGCGAGGGTTCATTTGTTCTGGGTCATTGGTGTTTCGTCGTTGGAACATGCAATGAAACACCCATGGGCGGCAGGTGTTTTCGCGGTGCCATGGAGGATTTGTGCTGTGTGGCGATCGAGGCAGAGTCTCGCACGCCGGGACTACGGGAATGTTCATCGAAGCAGCTGTTTTTGGGCACAGTTCGGCACAGGTTTACTGAGCACAGTCAAAAACCTCCTGACTTAGTCTTGTTTAAGAGGTGAGCAGCAATGGAAGCTCCGAAGGTTTAGAGTTCTGATGCAATTTTTTGTGCTCCTGACGGCTGCCTCCCCTCAAACGGGCTGGTGGCTTTCGTTTCGGGCTCCGAACTCTACGTAGACTGGCTATGAACAGTGAAAACACCATACTAGTGCAGAGATGTCCAGAGTCTATACGTTGACTCTCTAAACTCGCCCTTTTGACTATACTACCACCTTCTCAGGAGGTGGTTGGAGCCCTAGGGATAGTTCAGCACTTGAACATACGTGTGTCTTCATCACAGTTCGCCCCTCGCCATGGCCCTCTTCCACGCCCGATCCAGGCTGGCGCAGGCGGTCCGCGGTACTGGACCGGGTTCCAACGGCATCGAGCTGGCGACACCGCTGGTGGGTTCGTGTGGCGTTTCCGCTGGAGTTCGGGGAGTTCGGTTGGGGGAGCGGTGGGGTGTGGCATCGGATTGGGATCTGAGACGAGTTCGGTTTGGACGTATCTTCGGATGAGGAAGGACAGGTGCAAAGCATCGAAGAGTAAACATCTGTATTGGATCCATGGCCGACGAGAATAGGCATCAGGACGATCGGCGGTCCCAGCGTTCGTTTCGAGGTCTTTTGTTGATCTTTGTTGTTATTTGCCCACCATCGAAACGTGTTCTTTTTCGTCCGTTTCGATGTCTTCCGAACCCAAACTGCGAGACCTCGTTTTAGGTCTTACAATCAGTCGGGACAGCATCGCCGCGAGTCGAACGCGAGTCGATCGCGTTTGGGTTCGGCGATCGCCAGGTCGAGAGGCAAACCTCCGGGGAGGGTGGAGCCTCCCAGGAGGAAGATTGCGGGAATTATCGCGCGCGCTGGTCGGGACGACGTTCCAGGTGTCGCAGGTGGTGCGTGGTTTGTTGAGGAAAAAAAAGAAGAAGAAACCTCTCTTTCGCCGTTAGCGAAAGGGAAGTAACAAAAAGTGTCATGTTCAGTCCAAGACTCTGTCCAGAGCGCTCGGTCAACAGGTCTGGTGCCAGAGCCGAAGAAGTGCACACTCTTCGGGACCTCGATCATGCCATGCAAAAATGGATCTTGGGACCTGGAGAATCACTAAGGCTACTAAGGGCACGAAGCAGCCGGACTCGTGGACAGACAGTCACCACGAGAGCCGGAGGGCACGGGACTCACAACTATTCAGCTGTTCCATCCGAGTTGGAAGAAACCCCAAAAAACACACAAAACAGAAGGTCTGCGTACTGGCAGGCAGCTTGATTGTCCATGTCCTCACCTGCCTCACTGATTCTCACCCTTCCCAACACCGCAAAAAAGGCCAGATCCCCAGGGCCAAGGGGCTCATGACAGACGAACCACAAAGGCCCCTTTACGCCCCTTCACGCCCTCGCCCTCCTCGCCCTCATCGCCCTCTCCCCCTCTCGTCTCTGAGGTCGAGTGCATCACCTCGCAGGGCCACATGCCAAGCACTTCGTCCCGGAGCGCCTCCCATGGCAAGTCCGGGGGCCCCGACCTAGACGGACGGGCAAGGTGCGGACGGGCGTCACTGCGGACCTGCGTCGAGAGGCACTTAATGGGAGAACGAAAGAGAAGGTGTTCGGAAGAAGGGTTTTTGGTTGGGAGGTAGTTCGTTGACATAGACCCACACTTTTGGGCAGACTCTTGTAGACTGATCAAATGTATGGAAGTGTCAATCATGTTATCCCGAACCTTCAGGAAGCTGTGAAGAATTTGGCTCTTAATAAGTCCTTATGTTGTTTGGACACCGATTGCCAGTCAGAGTGATTGTCGGGCATCGGCTGACCTGAGTCGCTTGGATGTGGTCGTCTCCCCAGGTCTTGCGTGGTGTCACTCGGATTCTACAGTTCTCCTGGACCTTTGTAGGAGATGAAGCATGCGGTTTAGACGCGCACAGTGTTGCAAGTTTCGCGCACGAAGCTGCTTGAAAGATGATTGAATGTTGATGCGAAGTAAATGCTCCAAGCACTAAGAGAGGCAGGTTTGTCAACTTCCTTTCGTCATCTTTCGTCCACGCTCCAGCAACAAGAAACCAAAGAAAGAGAGAAGAGGCAAACCACAAGAAAAGCTTGGACAAACATAGCAAAATCTGGCTTGTTATGACGCTTTGCGCAACACAGATCTAGTGAATTTATATGAATTTATGTGAATTGTTTGGTCAATTTCTTAAGAATTGGTTCTTGGTTGATGTCTTTGTTCCTGCGAGGAATGATGGCTGTCCTTCGTGAGTTGGGCATCTATCAGCTTCACCGACATGTGGACTTTGGGCACGTCATCGCTTGGTTGTCTTTCTTCATCCAGGTGGACATAGAGGAACATAGAGGAACAGGTGTGTTGTCTTCACAGAAGGCTAAAGAGATGAATTTCAGCTGGACTCGTTCACTTTCTCCACCACTTTGGTCACTTCCTATTGTTGAATGTGATGACTGCTTCCTCCCGCGATCAGCAAACCAGACACAACGTGCCCTTTTGCTGGACCTCATTGCACCGAAAGACGGGTCGAATACCATGAAGCACACCGTTTCAATGCCCAAAATATTCGAACAGATTGAGGGGTTTAACTTGGAGCAATATCCTCAAAGCAAACACCTCGTGATATCCTCTGATACTGGATGGGCCCATCCAATGGCCCATCCCCAAGTCCATCCAATAAAAACCACTCAATGTCACCTCTTTTGTCAGCCTCTTTTGGCTCCCCCACATCGAAGCTCAGAGGCCTTGGCCGCCATGGCCTTGGCTGGGCCGAGCCGAACTCCGAAGCAAACACCGCCAGGATTGACTTCCAGCAACACCCCGGCGGTGAGCGTCGCTTGCCGGGGTTGACCCAGAAGATGGAGTCTCCACCTGGTAATACAGAAGGGTCCAAGACGCAAAGAGAAGGATGAACCAGTTAGAAGATATGATATGTTTGTTGTTTTTGATGAACCAGTTAGAATATGTGTTTGATGCTTTTTTGATGTTTGTTGCACTGAGGAAGTATTGCCCATGTGCGGGCGCGCCCAAACTTAAGTGACAAAGACTCCTTCTCCTTGTGACGAGAGTTCACCACCTTTTGCCATCGCGACTCGCAACAGACCTCACTGTCAGTGGTACTCACTTAATGAACAAAGAATTTGCATTTCTTGCACCTGGCAGCAGCCTGGAGCAGCCCCACTGGTGTCGGGATGAGCTCATCATCGCTGCCAAGCATTCGCTTCTTACGGGCCGCCGAAGGGCCCTCCACATCGGTCTGCTGTAGGTTTTGCTCAGATGCTTTTGGGGTGCTTAACTCAAAGAGACCCCCATAGAGGGGAGGAGGCCATCGCTCTTAGGTTGGAGGCCATTGCTAATTGCTATTAGGTTGGAGGATGCTTTTGGGTGGGTTGCTTAACTCAAAGAGAGCCCAGTAGATCCCTCCAAAGTCTCCTATCGTGGCTGTTCAACCAGCTTGCGGTAGTTCCTGCTCCACGACCACGTCATGTTCCACGTTCCCGATGTCAGCGATGTTTGCGAGGTCCGCAGCGCCCAAAAGCACCGAGGCGCTCGGCTGGTGTGTGAATTTTGGGGGGGAAATGGACTGAACATGGACTGAACATGGAACAAAGAGCTTTGTTTCTACCGATAGAAGTATCTGATGTAGCCGCCTGGTGGGCCCAACGAGTGAATTTGTACGTAGATGATGCATGATTATGTATTATATCCAGGTCGGTGCGGCGTTTTCGGCACAGCAGCGCATTAAGCAGACGTTCCCCGTTCTTAGTATAGTGTTTGGAACAGCCACGATATGGTGATCCGCTGCGACAAGGGCTTCTGTGCCTTCGATTCTTCCGATGAGATCATCACGAATGATTGGTGCTCCTTCTGTGCAAACATTCAATGCACGCCACTTTAGAGATTAAGTGCCAGCATGTTACCAAGCCGCCAGCTTGAAAATCATTACGCAATTATTTTTTGGCATGGTTCTATTCAGCTGCCCCACAAGTGCTGCAGGACTTTACGTTGAACTTCGAGGAAGTTGAGGCTGCATGCAAACAAGGGGGGCTGTCTCGCCGGAAGTTGCGAGTCTAATTGACAAAATATCTCATGTATCAACACAACACTCTGTGGAGAGCTGTGTTACACTAGCACATAAGAATACATAAGACATCACAACAAAACTTGACACAGTTCATTGACTTGAATGTGGATGCTTGCTTGGTTGCTTGTACCGAACAGCAAAGACCGTTGTGCCCACACACGCTGTAACACAGCCTGCCCCCTGCGACCGCGACCGGGGGTGGGGGAGGCCACCCTTGGTGGAGCACTGGAGTTGTTTTGAGCTGATCGACTCATTCACCCATCCCTTCGCGCCGAAGTTCTTCGCCCCAAAAAGACGCATGAACCAACCGCCCCGGTCGCCTTTGGCCACCGCGGTACACCGGCTGCACCGGGTCGAAATGGTCGCGGAGACAGACACGACGGGAGGGACGATGGATCGATGATGATGTCTGACATGGTCGGATCCTGTCGGTTCCCCAAACAGTGTGGGCACAGGTAAGGGGTTCTTACGATAAGGGAAAGGCAGCTGTTGTCTTGTTTTTTGTTGGTGGGTGATGCGCTCGAAAGACAAGAGGGCTGCAGAGTATATCTCATCGCCATCCCTCGACTGGTGGGTTAATCGGTTCATCCAAGGACTGACTGGGCGTGTAATTCAATCTTGATCCTATGGATTTCGATTTCAATCGGTTTTTGCCACAGGTCCTTTTGGTGGTGTTTTGATTCAATAGACCTGCTGGAATCCAGGAAACACGCATGTTGGATGGGGGAGCCGGGGAGGAATTGCGGTAACTGTTGTTCTTACACCCGGGACGAGACCCACATGGAACCTTTCAAAACGTACATGGATTTTTGGAAGACCAACCTCTTCCGAAGACCAACCCCCCGCGGTTACCATGGTTTTTACAGCTTCCCATGGTCTGCGGGGTCGTTGCGGGGTCGTGGTTGTCCACTCGGTCGGCAGGTGTCCTGGCCCCACGGAGCCTTCTTCGAAGCGGAGGCGAGACTGGGGTGCACTTAGCACTTAAGCCGCTGCGCGTTTTCGGCAGCGCATGGCTAGCACAATGGTTCCTTGTGTTCAAGGTTCTGGCTCGGACTCTTGGCAGAGCCAGGTTTGCCGCAAGACTAGGGGGGACCGCGCGCTCGGGACGGCTCCGAGGTGATCTCCTGGCTCGGCGACCGAGCCGAGGCTCGACGGCACAAGGGTGCGGAAGAGAACAACAAGTCCTCCGCACGGGACACTGGTAGACGTGTTAGTGACTATTGTGGGTAGATGTGGTAGCAAGAGTCATTCAATGTTTATGAGATGTTATACTATCCCCACCCCCTTAACCATTGTTTTGAGGGGGGG